GGGGGACAGAGAGAGGAGGCAGAGAGGGGGAGGCAAGGGAGATAGTAAAAATTTGGAAAGGGAAGGAGGGCGCAACACAAGGGGAAGTCTTTACAATGGGGTCAGGAAGAGAGCTGGAGCCAATACAGAAACAAAGAGAAAAGGAGGTTGGTGTCATTTTATCTGATGTGGAAAGAAAGAGTGATGTTAGATCCACTAATCAGAGGACGCACAGTAAATGGACCAAATACGGTTGCCATGGAACAAAATGAAAAAACAAAGAACAACGAATGGAACACAAAATGAATGGGAACCTTAATTTAATACATGGTTATAGACAAACAGCTCTTTCAGGTGCCATTTGTGCAGTACACCTGTGTTTTTCTTCATTATAAAATCTCACCTTTGACAGCTTTTCATCTCATACCCTGTAAATGTATTTCACACACAGTCACATACACGTTCATGTACAACGACTGCACTGACAGCCTGGCTCATGATTGTAGGAAAGGTGATGTAATTGCTTTTTCCTCTGGTTCCCCACCACAGCCGGGACTCCCTTTCTGATTAACACCTGTTACCCTCCTTCTCCCTCTTCCTCTATTTATCTCTCACACACTCACACACACACACACACACACACACACAGACATACCATGGTGTTAATCCTGCACTGTGTCTGGTGAGCGAGGAGTACTGCACACTGCTAACCTTTCCCTTGTGAAATATCATATTTCTCTGGCCACAGACATCTTTTCATACAGCTCACAAGTAGCTAAAATCATACGTTGTCCACCTTATAAAGGGGTAGTTTGGAATAAACATATACATGTGTATGTATAGGTGACTGACTGGATACTTGTGTGAAACCTGGCTTCTTCACTGCTGTATCTGCAGAGTCTTAATGTAGATCCAGCACTCTCTAGGCTTCTGCTTTTCGCCCTCCACCATTTGATAGAGCTGAGAAACAGCACAGAGAATGAGCCAGTGCACGCAGCACAACATAAGTGTAAGTGTGCCCTCAAATGGCTGAAGTGTGCAATGACTGCCATGCATGCTGGGCCAAGAAGAAAATCCATTTGGTAATAATGGGATGTCTATGACACAACAGAGTGGATACACCACAAGTATTGAATTTATCAAAGACAATAAAAAGCTGAAACACACCAGTCCAACACACATCATTACATCTGCTTGTTTCTCTGGTTGTTCATCATTGGATTATATTCTCATCCCTCTCTGCACTACTCCTCTACCTTTATCACTTCAATCACTTGGCGATGTGCCTTGTGTCATTCAGAGGGCCTGCTGCCCGCTCCATTTTATGCAATGCAATAACCCCCACCACACACACACACACACACACAGATTTCTGTCCTCACTCTGTCCATCATGCATCTGTCTGTCAGTCACTGCACTTTGAAGCTCTGTGCAATCTGGATAGCTACCACACACATACACATATTTACTGTACTATACACACACATCTCCAGCTGGACTGCTGATCCAACACACTCAGCCAGTTGAATATTCATCATCATGCACTGAGGACCTTGTAGGCTCAGCAATGCAACAGCCCAGTAGTGTCAATTAAGGGACCATAATTTATTTATTTTTTTCATTACAGAACAGCACTGATTTAATGGCTGAACCCTCTGAGTGACCTTAATAATATGTACATAGCACTTCAATAAGCTACTACAGCATGAAGGTTAGAACCTGTTGTTACAGGACAGTCTTTTGTGGTCTAACTGAGGAAGGGCAGACGATGAGTAAAGAGAAACTGAGTCGAGTTAATGCTTCCATTGTCTATAGGAGAGTATCATCAGTAATATCAGCAATGGGTGGGTAACATAGATAAAATCTCCTATTACTATTTGTCATATTAATACATGATATCCACATACAGCGCTGCTTTCATGCAGTATCTCATTTATGTCTTTAGACTATTAAAATTTTACATTTTTAGAGGTACTTGTGTCATTTATCTTGTATTTTTGTGTTGTGGTAGCTCCATATTTTGTTAAAGATAAAGTATGCAACTTTTTTCAAATATATCTGTTGTAGAAATGTACCCCAAAACTTGTTGTAATGCGGAGAGGTGCGGTCAACGCCTCGTGTGACCCAGACTCAGCAGTGCAGAGATATTAGCTTCTAAAAGGTTTTGAGCAGGACTGACCTCTAACCAGAGATTTTCAGCTATTTCAACTTGATCAGTACATTTGTTGCATTCTCATTTCTTGTAATTTCATAACAACAAATAGTAGAGCATAGCGGAGTAGGGAGAGGGAGCGCTGGGCTGAGCAGAGTGGATTAATTTGGAGTTGGAGTTTCATGCTAGTGCTACCTTAGGTTACATGCATAAAAAATGACAAAATAATAAGTCAGACTTAGCCTATAGCTGAGATTGTGTTGAAAAGGGGACACCATTAATAGCAAGGATAGTTTAAAGGCTGATAAACAAAAACAAATGCATACAAAATCAGCAAATATTGATTAAATTAAACCTGTACTCTACAGAAAAAAGTGGTATTTCATCACATTGATGTAATTAGCTTCTAAACCCGGTATCACCATAAAGTAGACCTGCTCATTTAATTGCAATTTTGTATGAAATTGACTTATATTATAAATATTATAAATTATAGAATATAAAGGACAGGTTCACATTTTTCAAAGCATTACTCAGAAGCTTATGATGTTCAAATAATTATGCTGTAATCATTCCACCTGTTCATACTGGCCCTGAAGAAATCCCTTCTGAAAATCTCCAGTGGACATGACTGCATCAAAACACAGCTGTTTTACTGTGCAAAAATAAGTTATAAAGGTCAGCTGGAGCTAAAATGGAGTTTCAGCAGTCAGACTGAGTTAAATCAAGTGTAGTCTTACAGTGCTTTGTTAAGCTGTGGTGGAAGGAAAGTAGAATAAGGAGAGAATTTTGTGCTTAAGAATAACTTTAAAAGATAAGTTTGTTTTGTCAAACAAACTGCTGGAGCCTCATTTGTTTCACATAAAGGTTTAAATGCATCACTTATGGACAAGAGGAGCAATTAGCCTGCCCTCCACGAAGGACTTGTACACCTCACGGGTCCAGAGGAGGGCAGAGAAGATTTCTGCAGACCTCTCACACCCTGGACACAAACTGGTTGAACTCCTCCCCTCTGGACGGAACTACAGGTCACTGTACACAAGGACAGTTTATTCCCCTGGGATGTCACTCCGATGAAGACTTAACCCATGACTGTATAACAGAATGACAACCCTCAGTGCAATACCTTGTAAATATACTTTGCATATACTGTATCTATCTGAAAAACTGTTTGTGTGTATACAATGCACATTCCCTTTTTCTTTTTTCCTCTCCCAGTCTTCTCTTTTTTACTTGTTTACTCATTTGCTTACAGAAGAGCATTGTACATGCACATTTAGAGCCACTTTACCAGAGTCAAAGTCCTCGTGTTCAACACACCTGGCCAATAAATGTGATTCAGATTCTGGCAACCAATAACTTTTAAACACACGGATATGTGAGTATTACATTAATACAGGTTTTCTCTTTCTGCTGATCCCCTATAAAAGTGAGTTTGAAAATATTAAATACAACGGCACTTAGCACAGGCCTTCCACCATGCCAAAGCAAAAACAGTGACCCATCTTACAAACTCAGTTACTCCCTGGAGACAGTCCAAGTGGTCCGCTTGCACACTTCAGATAACAAAGATCTATGTAAGGTGTGGTATCATCTTTGGTGATTAATGAAGGGAACGAGAATCAACTTTGAAGAGAAGCTTAAGTTAGAGGAGAGATACGGACCCCAGTGTTCATTACCAACAAGAGTTACTGTACATGTGATTAAAACCGTTTTATGAAAAGCCTCTTTGAATATACTTAAAATTAAATTCTTTAAACAACTGTATGAAAATGGCATCAGAGTATAAGAAAACTGAAACAGAAAATGGGACAAAGAGTTAAGTTACATTGGTCAAAATTTAATTCAAATAAGTTAACAAAACTTACATAAAACAAGAGAATCTGAATATGGTGCTTATGTCAGAATAACTCAAAACATTTGGTCAAACCCTTACGTGATATGGATTAAACACATAAAGTTAATGGCTGCAACATAAAAAGTATGCATCTCCATTCACAATGTAAAATAATGTGAATATTGAGTTCAATAAAACAAGTGCAAATGACTCACAGTGTCTCTGACAGTAAGAAAGATAGATTACATCTTTTACATAATATAGTGCAGAAGTGCAGCTTTTACAAATAGTACTCTGTATATACACACAGTGTAGAGCCGAGAAAAGGTTAGAGTAAATAGGTTTTCCTTCTTTTCTGAGCACTTGAGGGTTTATTGGATTGTATGGGAATGCAACTTCATGGGGGCATGTTAGCGGCCTATTTAATATTTGAAACTCATAAAAAGAAACATGATTTTGAGCGTGAGCTTTCCCTTTTCCATATGAAACTTCTTCATATAGGAAAGTTAATTCAAAATCACATATGACTTTCAAGGCAGTTTTTTTTTTGTCCCATTAAATGGTGTTAGAATAATATACTTTCATATAAATAAACTACTATTAAAAACACAGAAATAAATATTGCAAGTGCTCCCTCGTTTGAGCATGAATAGATGAGGAACGTTTAATGTGTAACCGGAGTTGGATATGATCACCTTGCCAGCAGGTCTCTCCTGACTCTCTGAGGTCAAACTTTAAGTTTCCATCTCAGACTCTGAGTTATCCAAATTAGACACAGTAGAGCTGTACCATTCAGCACTCTCTTCTTCCTCTTGGACTCCAGATCCGCCTCCGCCTCCCCCGCCTCCTCTGTCTCTTCTCTCGTTCAGCATTTCCATGGCTACTTGGTGGTAAGGGTGTTTGCGTTTGGTGTGTCGGCGTAATGTGTTGCGCTCCGCGAATCGTGTGTGGCAAAGTTGGCACTGGTAGGGTTTTTCTCCAGTGTGTACCCTTTGGTGGCGCTGGAGCTCACCAGCCTCCCTGAAGCGTTTGGAGCAGATGGGGCACACGAAGTTCCTCTGGCCTGTGTGGATGTGCTTGTGTCTCTGTTGAAAAAAATAGTAGAGATGGTAACAACTTTATTAAAGTGGCTATAATTGTTTTTTATTGACTGTTTGTACAGAGAGTTATCACTGTGCAGTTCCCCTCAGAGCTGTCGTCATATAAAGATTTTCAAGCAAATTTACGTTTGCATTCACTCTCGTCACTTTCATACTATTAGTTCTGGCTGAAGAATAAAAGCTCTATAACTCACTGTACACCACCTGCTCAGCACCAAACTGCACAGACAGACAGAAGCCATTTTCACACATGAACTCCAGACTATGTCTGCAGAATCAAGTCCAGACTTTGTCCAGAGTTGCCTTTTCACACATATAGTGCACAACAAGATGTGTTCTCGCCTATTAGAAATACTCCGCTTGGTTTATATGAGGGGGTAGAGCATGCAGGAGGCGAGACATGATGTAGTCACATAGCCAGTCTGTAGTTTACTCATAATCCACGAATCTCTTGCCGTACTTCAAATCTGTCCGACAATTTCTGCACAAGCTCTCAAGAACAGAAGTTCCAGAAACTCATCGTGTCTCCAGTTAGATAATTTCGTTGGCGTCTTTATTGTAAATAACTGTTTTTCTTCACCATTGTATGTTTGTATACTTTCAGTTTTGCACCAATCACATGATAAAATATCATCAACACGCCCCACAAGCTCAGTGTGAATACTCTGGACTATACACGGCTGTCTTCTCACATGGGCTCACTCCAGCTCACTCAGACCTTATGCAGACTTTGTACTAAGGAGCTGGCAGAGTAAAGTCCGCTTAAGGTCTGGGTCGACCAACTTAGCTATTTGTGTTTTCATTTACAGCTCCTCCAGGTAATGTCTAGATAATTCCAGGATTCCAGTGCATGTGTGAAAAGGGTTAGCTAGTCATCATACTGGGGCATGTAACATCTTAAAAACCAGATATTTCTGTCAGGAATTAATGCAAACCAAAATCAGAACCAAAAGGAGAAAAACTATTGAACTTATTCAACCAGAAACCTAACTCCAAATCTATGCTAATGTTGCTCCGGGGCTGCTGTCCATGTCTGGCTAAACAGGCGATTATTTACAGACAAGTTTGCATTTTAACTTAAATGTGATAACATGCATGAAAGGCTGTGACAGCTGTGAATGATTATTCAATTAATCAGTTGCAGCCCTAGTTCATAGCTTGTTTCCGCTGCTTCCAAGTCGCCAAAAAAAAAAAAAACTGTCACTGCACTAATAATTTGTGACATCTGTTCAAGTTACTTATATTATTATTAACATTGCTAATGAAATGATAGTTATAATTAACTTGCACTGACCTGCAGATGGCTGGAGCGTTTGAAGGCTTTGCCACACTGCTGACAAATGTGAGGCTTCTTCTGTGAGTGAGTGATGGCATGGCGCTCAAGGTCAGAGAGGTAAAAGAAGACCCGCGGGCACAGCTGACAGTACAGGACCTTACGGGAGCTCATGGTGTTAGGTGACGATGCCGGAGAGAGAGGATCCAGTGGGTCGAGGGGGTCAAGTTTATCAGAGGGGAGTATGGGTCCACTGGGAGGGGAGGGAGGAGCAGCCGTGTTGGAGAAATAAAGATGATCATCCAGAGGTAAATGTTCTGAGTGCAGGTCAGAGGTGTCAAATTTGGGCTCTGAAGCTGGTGACTGAGCTTCTCCTTCTGAGGTGGGCTGAACTAAGGGGTCATAGGTCAAACTAGCAGAGCGTGGCTGTGGAGAGGGTGCTGTAAAAGCTGATGGCTTGTTATTTTCATTTGAGACTTCTTCGGCAGATATGGCTTCAGTTCCTGGGTTTGAAAAACTAAACTGAGAATGAATAATGGAATCTGGGCCATGATGATCATTCTGCAGATTAGTGGTGGAAGTAGGAACAGCAAGAGAGGTGAGAACAGAGCTGGAGTTTACATTATTCGCTCCTGACAAGATGACAGGGGGGTTAGTGGCACTCAGTCTGATGATGGGGTGAGACAGTGTGGGCAGAGGTGATCCCAGCGTGCTGATCTGACCAGAGGATAAAGGGAGAGAGACCGAGGCTGAGGCCGCAGTGATCTGAGACAAGTGACCAGTTGAGGGGTTGAGGACAGCTATAGGGGTGGAAGCAGCTGTGGACTCACTAGAGGAAGAGGGTACAGAGGAGAGGAGAAGAAACATGGGGGTGGAAGCACCTGGTGAGGTCTGAGTAACAGAGATAGGAAGCGAGAGACCCACTGGAGCAGAAGAGAGCTGATGAGAGGAAGTGGAGGATGACAGAAGGAGAATGGGAGCATTAGTAGATGGGTTTGGAAGGATCTGAATGGGCTGAGTGGGGACTGAAATCCCAGAGGAAGAGGACAGAACAGCATTAGCCTCTAGAACAGATTTATCACTCGGCTCCACAGCCTTTGAGAGATTGGAGTTCGTGATCAAACTTGTGAAGACTTCTGGAGCTTCTGACTGATCAGCACCTAGCGATGGAGAATCAGTAGTAACGGCTGGTGGAGGGTAAGGCTCATCAGAAGGTGCATGTAGTGCATTGTCTGAACTTTGGCTGAGGCTAGGATCTGCTAACTTTGTTCCTTCTACCGCTGCTGAATTAGCCTGATCAGACTGAAGATCCTCTGATGTGGAAGCATCAACTTGCGGCACTTTGAGTCCATCTGGACTGAGAGTATACGGGATTCCCTGGTCGTCTATGAGAAGAAGGTTTTCAGTGTCACAGTCTATTGAGGAGAGGGAGGTGAGGACAGAGGAAGAAAAAAAAGAAGGAGACAAGAGAGATGTCCCTAGTGTATCTGTGTCCTCTTCATCGTCATTGTCCTCTTCTACTATGTCTCTGTCTCCTTCTCCCTCATATTCATCTACCTCCATAATCAGCGAGCTTTCACAGCCAGAATCATCCAGAAAGCGTCCACACCTCCTTTCTCGGCTCTCTTTTTTCTTGGGCAAACTCAGGTCCAGTGGTTCTGTCTGCTCCTCTGTCACAACCTCATCAAACATCTTAGAAGACTCCATCTCGTGCAAAATTAGAGGAATACTTTTCTCAGTTTCTCTCTCTGCAGTTTCCTCTTTAATCCCCTGATGACTCAATATTTTTACTGTGTTAATGCAGGAGATAAAAGGTGTTTGTGACACATCAGTGTGGATGTTTTTAGCATCAAAAATCTCTCTCTCTTTGCACATTTTCTCCCCCGTCCCTGCTTCCATCCCATGGAATGATTCCGGTTTAGGTTGCTCAGTCTTTTGATTTGTAACTTCATTGATCTCCCCTTCATTCTTAACAGCAGATATATGGATTTTACTCCTGTTTTTTTCTGTGATCACTGCTCCAGATGAGACTAAAACAGGTCGTCTAAAATGTGAGTGAGCAAAGTCTTTGGTCAGGCTGATGGTGGGGTGTGTGATTGGCCTCTTGCACCGTGAAGGAACAACAATTTTGATTCTTATTGGATGGCTGCGCAGAACAGGCACTCCTGTCTTTACTGTAATTGGCTGCCTGAACCCACCAATCTTGCTTATTTCCTGAGAGGCTGGCTTAGAAGTCCCGCCCACCTCTGGCTTTTTCCCATTGATTGAAGAAGTGTCTTGTCTGATGGTCACTGCTGCTTTGACAGGGCATGGCTGGAGGTTACCTGGGACAGAATTGGTTGAGGTTTTGTCCTTTGAGTCCAAGAAAACCTCTGTCAATGGCCCTGATACCTCTGAACACTGGCTGCCATTTTGGACATCCAGGCTGCCACTGGTCAGGACTGAAGCCAACTGAGAATCCATTTTAGGGCATACCTATTTATATTTCTATAAAATAGGGGAATATAATAGATAAGATATTCAGAGCAGCAATATTATAATTAAAACAAGTATATTTTCACAGGAAATAAATTAAATAGACATCATGTGACTGGCAGGGAAAACTAAATATATAGTGATTATTGGAGTCAGTTTTAGTTCAAAAAGCCAATATCATTATTGATTTTGTGAGATTACTGACAGCCTATAAATGAAGTGGACTGAATCCTCTTCTTCTTCATTCCAAACTGCAACTAGTATGACCTCAACCTCAGACCGTCCTGTTAATTGTGTAGGTTACCTTGCTTGGTCCTAATTTAAAGCTCGGCGAATTTCTTAGGGGTCGACCGGAGTCTCCAGTCTTTCACATAAACGCATCAAAGAACAGAAGGGTCCGAATAATGTGAACAAAATCGCATTTCCTTTCTCATAGCCTACTTCTACCATCCACATGCAACACAAGTAATAAAACGTTTCCTGTTAAATTCGCGTGATAACAACTCTTATTCCGTTTGCTTTGAAAATATTAGCCCGTCCTGAAAATTGTTTTGGGGATAAACCGAGGAGCACTCTCCGTGGAGGACGCCATTACGCACAGTCCTAGGTCCGAAATGCCAATATTATCGTGGTGCGTGTGCGCCTCGTCAGTTCTCGGACCTGGGACAACGTCGTCACTAACGCGCCGTTCGGAGAAAAGAAATAAACATATTTACAGACAGTGGATTCGTGGAGCCGATCCTTCCCTTTGCACCGGAGCTTTCTCGGACCTACAGCCAGCCATTTTAGAGCCGAAGGTCCGAGACACCGAGAGCACAGCCCGGCAGCCTTACGACAAACTTTCCCGGCGCATTGTCGTTTATTCCAACCCTTTTGTTAAAGCCACTGCAGGATGCGGCGGACACGCTTCCTATACATTTAAAACTGCATTTTAAACTATACTCCACCCATACGCTCGCTGCATGGGGACTGGCTTACCCGAGCTGAGGATATTTCCGGAGGACCAAATATGACTGTGCAGTGTAAAGGGTGATGCTGCGAATGCTGAAGGAGGGAGGGGTCAAGGGGAGTTGCTATGGTGTCGCAGCCTACCGGGTCCGACCAGTAACCATGTTCAGCCTATGAGTATGGTTGAACCTGCAGCCTGCACAGAAAGGCGCTGCACGCCTGAGAGCCTGAGGGATGGGGGGCAAGGCAAGAAGGAGATCAGGAGGATGGAGAAAATGGGCCTGAGCTCACCCAGCACAACCTTATGTGCAGTTAAAAGGAAACCAAAGAGCAAACAATTTGGTATTATTTTATTTCAAATAACTCACATTTTTTAAACTTAACAAGCTTAAAGACTTGATGTGTCAGGTTCAACAGAAGAAACAAAGGTCACACAGTGAGAAATCACAGCGTCATTATGAGTTAGGCTACACCAAGGTATCATCACAGGCGTAACTAGTGCAGCAAATGCATTATACTATTTATACTGTACATCATCATGGAGGTCTATGGATAGCATTACAGTATATACTGGTTCACACAGGAGGAGAATCAAAGTAACACTTGAGGTTAAAATTATGCCTGTACTTTGATAGTGAGCAGGAGGCCCTGCTGTTCTAACCTGTTATGCAACGAGCACAGGAGAGACAACCTGCTGATCCATAAGAGATGTCTAACAGACCACAATCATAGCAAAGATAGTTGAAGGTGGAGAGTGGTCAGGATGACGGAATAGGGCACTGGTGTGTGTCAGGAGGTGTTTGCACTGTGACACAGTGTCATGGGTGTTAGTTGGTGTCAAAATCATCACTCCACATCACCAGGCTCACATGCTTCAATCTCTGAGACCAGTCGATGTGGGAAGAGTTTATACTGCAACCATGTTGGTTCTGAAAAACAATGAGAGGATGAATGAACATCACAAAAGTCTCCAGCTGTCAATAATGTGAATCAATCCCTCTTATGTTCTTCTGACTGGCATACTGGCACAGAAGAGTTTTGTGCATGTGGCCAAGGTTTACCAAGGTAGCAGGCTGGTGGCTGCAGTTTTCCATCAAAGCAGGTCTGGGATGCAGTGAAACTGCAAAGTTTGTGAGGATGTTTGCAGTAAAAAGTCACATTTTCCCCATGAGGAACCATGGCATCTGTCACATCAAATGGCCAGCGCTTCATTCCTCCAGTCACCACACGGCTTCTCTCAGCAGGGATGAGACAGCGAGCTGAGAAAATCATCAAGGTATCAAAGTATGAGTACATGTGCAAATGTTCTGTTGATCTTGTATTTATGTATGCATATTTGTTTGTCATTTACATTTCTGCATACAGTGAATGTACCATAAGAATTTCAGTGGCAAGCTTTTATGTGCTCTGTGGATGTATTTAAGCTCATTAATTATATGCATACATTTGATTTCTGGTGTTTCTATTTGAAATATCTCGGATCTCCCTCACCTCTGCAGTATGGTGGCAATGCACTCCAGCTACCGTTTGATAGACAGGTGACCTTCCGGGGTCCGTCCAGCAGGAAGTTCTTCTTGCAGAGGTAGTGAATGTCAAAGCCCACCTCATATTCAGTCTTCTGAACAGCCACCACATAGCCCTGCTGCACTTCTTTAGGAGGCTGACAGTACACTTCTAAGAAAATGAAGAAAGCCAACAGAAAACGTATAAGACGAGTTCCTGCACAAAAAAGGCACAGGCATTGTTCCTCTTTTATTGCTGTTATTGGCTGATGTTTTCTGACATCTTTACCTACTGCTGCTGATGGTTTTAAAGTAAAAGCTTGAAACCACAACAATACTTCTGTCACTTTTACTTTGTTTTATCCAAAGTCGGGGAAAGTTATAATTATTCTACTGTGACTTAAGAAGCGTCCTGTGTGGACTTCCATTTCTCACTATAGAAGAGGCCATGTAATATCAGGTTTACCCACAAGATGGCAGAAAAGCACTGCGAAACAGAGTGATAGATCTCGAAGGGGTTTCTGTCTGACTCTTGATTCACTCTGTCTTACATATCTGCCCACACACACAAACCAATACACCCTACAAATGATGGGAAAATAAAACATTTCCATGCCTACAAACTACAGACACTTGCAGTCCCAATGCTCATTCACTCACATCATCAGCCACCGCCTCATCTTCTCCTGCTAACCATGCTAGTTATCCTGAGTGTGAATGTAACACACAGGTGTGCACACACAGTCAGTCAGTGCGGGGTACTACTGGACACTTACTCTTACAGATGGGGTGAGGATACTGCCAGGTCTGATTATCCTGACAGAAATTCTCACTGCTCCCCACTATATCCGCTCTGCAGGAGGGAAAGGAAAGCATGATGAGACAGGCAGTGGTGTGACATGCAGGGTACTGACAGTTAAGAAGCTTCATCTAAACATCTAAATAAAAGTGATGAAAAAAGGTGTAAATGATTCCTTTTTTCCACTCTGCCTCTCTTTCAGACTGTTTTTATTTTGTGTGCACAGTTCTGGCTGACACATCTTTGCAGACGCATCTTATCCTGTCAGATGAGTCAGTGTGTAAAGGGGAGTTAATACAAGATTAGACTGTAATGACCTAGTTAGCTCAATAGAGAGACTGTCAGCTGGGAGATCAAAATGAATTCCCTGCCATTCATCACTCACCCTCCATCGTTCCCCAACACCTTCCCTCTATGCGCTCCCTCTATTTCACACTCCATCCCTGTCCTCTCACTTCCTCCATTTCTACCTTCATACCATTTCAAGTTTTCAGAGCTTCTTCCCACACATCGAACATTAACCTCCCAACAACGCCCCCTCGCTCACCCAGACAGGCAGCTGTAGTGGATGAAAGTTCCAACAGTAGCGTTGCCCTGGATGCTGAAGGTGCTGGTGACTTCCTCAGGCAGAGGGCAGGTTTGTGCAGCAGCAGGCTCAGGTGACTGAGTCTCTAAGGTCAGAGAAAAAACAGAGGATGAAGAGCAATAAGGACAAATACGCAGTGGTGGGAGAAGTAGTCAGATACTTTGTCTAAGTAAAAGTAGCAATACCACATTGTAACAACTCTCCATTACAGGTAAAATCTCTGCAGTGTAATTAATACTTAGATGTGAGATTATGTTAAGAACTATTAGCAAAATGCACCTACAGTATCATGCATAAAGGATCATAATGCAGAACAATGGAATCTCTAACTGATGCACTGTTATATGAAATTATTAACAGTGGAACATTCATATAAAATAGCTTTTAGCTGTGTGGTTGGTCATGGTGGTGCTTTTAATCCACTATCTGAAAGTTATAATAGGTAGTTCCTTTAAAAATTAAATGTTTACATATAATGGTCTTATATAATAAGACCCTTGTTTTGGATGAACTTACTACTATGTAATGCTACTTCTAGTTCAATGTCACATAAATATTAATACACCAGTAGTAAAACTCCAATAACAAAGGTTTCGATGCCTCCTTACATCTAGTGGAGTATTTTTACATTTAATATTGTTACTTTTTCTCAAGTAAACTACGGAGTGTGAAAAACTCAAGGGTTTCATGGGAGACGTGCATCCCTTGGACTTAATGTGGATTGACTCACTTTATAGAATGGGATTCTATCTGCAGTGTGACACGGGCGTAGAAAACACTTCCAGTGTTTTACTAGTTAGTTGCAAGTCTGTAGCTTTATTTGTTGTGTCACAGTAGCAGGTTTTCGGTGAGCCTTACAAATGTGAATGCTCTGGATCAGCAGATCCAGAATATTACTTGGCTCCAGCTCAGACTTTGAATGTGTGGTAAATCTTATGTGGATGTTATCATGCAATTTTCCTCCAAGCATTGTAGGCATTATGTGTTGAGTTAGAAGCCAAAAATATTGAAATTGGCCCTATCTCACAATGGTGAAGAATCCTTTTAAAAAATTCCTGGATCCAGATGATGAACCAAATTAGCACAATGGGCCATATCCTACCGCTCCTTAAAAAAAATCTAAATCCAATCATTACTTCTTAAGTTTTGTTGTGAAAAAAACAACAAATGCCAATAAAAAACATAAGCTCCTTGGCATAGAGAACAATTATTACAACAATAAAACATATAATAATACTAGAGAGAACTCAGGGAGTGCATACCTCCACCAGTTTCCCCATAATACCCTAAAAGCAATATTCCCATGACAGTTTAACCCCCATAATATAAATTCTTCACCATGAAAATCTACTGCTGCGATTTGGAATGACGTTTATAGTCAGTTAACTTCAGTGAGTGGACAAATCTCATACACACCAACAATAACCCACAGTGATGCAATCAGCACATCAGAGTCAGCATACATGGCTGGTGCATGTGAATGTGATTTTACAGGTAACAGACATTAGCAAATAAACAAGGAGGGAAGTGCGTGAAAAACATGAAAGAGAGGAAGAAAAACGAATGTACCAGAAACGTCCACCCTGCTATCTCATTCAACTTGTTTGTATTTAGTTAGTGACCCACAGAGGCGTTTCACCCAGTGTCTTGTTCTATTTAAGTTGAAATAACCTTTCTTAGGTAATAAATCAAAGTTCGATGAACAGGTGAAACACCACCCCACACCTCTCTGCGCTCACAGCTATATCTGTGATTGTATAACACCTGGCACTGTTCATTCCTGCAAGTTTGAGTGCCTCACACTTGTGGAAATATAAATATCAAGAGTGGTGCTTGGAGAGAAGCTGGAGCGACCCAAGCTGCATCAAGCGCAGGTTTCGGAGTTGAGCGTGGCTTTGAAAGGCAGAGACAGCTCTTGCCTGAGGGCTGCCTTAGATAGCTGAAACCAAGAAACATTAATATAAAAATGTAAAGGGACCTATGGGACAGGGAGAGTTATGAGTCTGTTTGGCTGCAAATGAGAGCCCAAAGCCTAGTTTTGTTTTCACATACTGCCCTTCTCCTACCTTGTACTGCTGCCTCCCACACAGGCTGCAACGCCAAACAGCTATGAAGCAGGTATATCAAATACATCTTTTTAAATTATCAAACAGTCATTGTGAATGAAACACAGTGTTAAATACACAGCAATCTGTTTGAGACCAAAGATGTAAATGTCCAGCCAGGCTCCACATACACCTCTTGCAATTTTTTTTCTCAAACAAACATACACAGAGACATTTCCACACATTACAAGCTAAATAGCTTTGAGCTGCGTGCTTGTCCTTGGCTCCCACTGTAGAGAAAGGCCTTATCAGTAGCCTCAGATGGAAAAGGATGAGAGGAGCAAGAGATGAGAGGAAGAGAGGATGAGAAAAAAGAGCAGAGGAGAGGAGAGAAGGGAACAGCAAGGCCTGGAGCAGCATGAGCAAGAGAGCTCTGACTCCCCTGACTGTGATCTTTTGCCCACTCACACACACATACACACACAAACTGTCACAGATGTGCAATCCGCCCCCCACCCCCACCCATACACATCTAATGTATACAAGAAAAATCTATCTCTTTACCTCTCTCCAAAAAACACGCACTCACAATAGACACACATTCGCACTCGCTCACACTCACGCAGCATACACGCAGCTCTGTGCAGCTTTGACAGTGATCAGCCGCCCACTAACTCTCAACAGGCATGAAGGAGCTCCACTCACACTCTAACACACATGCAGAGGATGCACAATACAAATGCTCTCACACGTTCAAAACCCACCTACCTTCTGCCTGTCTCTCAGCAGGAGGATACTCTACGAGAGAGCTGCCAATCGTGTTCCTATTTCACATCTTTGAATAGATAAAAAAAAAAATCTTAAAGGTGAGACCGGGACCCAGCTGGGTTGAGGATTCCTAAGAAAGCATATTTACTCTAGCCCCGGGCATGTGACTAATGGAGCTAAGACCTTTAAAGCTGAATTTGTATTGTTTTTATCAGCAGTGACAGGTTGACATAAGCAATAAGTAGAACATACTTTTGGATGTTGATGAAATATGTCAAGATACTAAGGACTGTCAGTGGCTTTACTTCATGTACTGCTGTACAGCTCTACAATAGTAGAACAATTCTTGTCTTTTGTGAGCCACTTATTCAAACTTATCATTTCTTGTTCTATATTTAGAGGGAGCGAGAGGAAATTTAAATATTTTACCACATAATTATCTCTGAGCACAGTGGTAATTTTGATGTAAATTAAGTGGGAATCATGAGAAACTTCTTTGTGTTTTCTTTTAAGAACTTAAACAGGTACATCTTTCACGTAAACCTCTTCATACGCCAGCATTAGGTCAGTTAAGAGACTGCAGAATCTCTAGGACATAAAAGGTCAAACACACCACACGTGAAGCATCTAATCAATTTATAATGTTAGACTGTAGCTGAATGTGTATTCAAGAGGCTACAAATCATCTTGATCATACACCCTAGTATTATCTAGGTACACAAGCTTGGTATACCTAGCTAAAACTAGTGCAGTCTAATACATCCATCCCATTTAGTATATTAATCAGACTAGGGTAAATAACAGAAACACCTCTCTAGATAATGCAGCACAGTTCGACAGCACCACAAACTACAAAATCCAAAATTATGACCATTAATAACGCCACAGACTATGGCCTAAACATGAACAAATACAATTACAAATAGATGCAAACTTTAACCAGAATATATACTGTAGAGCATGGACACATATGTGCATGCATGCATATATGATTTACATCCACACACACATATTTCGCTTTCATATCCTCTTTAAAGTCACCAACAGTTTGGGAGTAAAATCTTCAGACAGCCAACTGAACAACTAAAGCTCTGGTTGCTATGGTGATGAGGAGAATAGGTCCCAGTTGTGCAATGTCTCAGTCGGCACAATCACAGAGGGGTTTCATTCCTGAATACCATTTTGTATAAAAACAAAGCCTTATGGTTACTCCTTGACCATCACTGATCTACACATCATATACATATGCAGTGTGCCTGATATTACAGAAAAACTGTACTGAATCTGAGACAGGAGCAAAGACCACAGCATTCTCCCAGATGTTCATTACCGTATGTGGAGTGAGAAAGAACATTTCTTTGTTGAAAACCCACCTGTGCAGATGGGTTCATCCCCACTCCACTGTCGGTCACCTTGACAACGACGAATAGTGGCCTCCAAGCCATTGGGCAACGTGAATCCAGGCTTGCAGCGCACTTCAAGCAGGGCAGAAAAGGAGTGAGTGGGAGAGAGGAGCCGAGCTACTGAATTTTCATTAGGGGGTAGAGGCCAGGGACAAGTACGACCTGAGGAGAAAAGAGATGATCCAGAGGGAGGAGAGAGGAGAGAGAAAGCGGGACGTAGGGAACAAAACAACTCTCAGAATCTGCTGGATTGTTCCTTGTATAAGAGAAATTAAATGGTTAGCGCTAAAAGAGCACTAATGAGGTTGTATAAATAGACTGGATACATGCACAGTGCCCCCTTTTACAGTGCACAAGCATAATAGAAAGCTTGTGTTCAGCACTGGCATAGGGTGCATTTTGAGCTCAGATTATGTGCATGACCAAGGCTTTTACTTTATTTCCCAGGAAAAGCACACACAGATACACAGATGTAGGCACAGCTGCGTATACACAGAGACAAACCCCTTTAATGGCTGAGCCTACAGTAGTGGTCACAGTGACAACTGAGAGCACACATGCATACAAACAGCTACCTGGAGCCACACAGCTGAGACCACACTGGCCGTCACACAGACACTGGCGCTTGTTCCCACAGTCTCTGTCAGCTTTGCATGGCCGAGGGCACGTCCTCCTCCTCTCCTCTCCCAGAAGTCTCTCTGGGCACGACCCTGTTGGATTACCACACACACTATCACACAGTCACAGTAACTGTCCCGTTGTTTACTTCTAATCCATTCATGGCCCCTTGTAAAACCTGCAAACGCTAACGGCCATAATGAGACTTTGTTTGCCAAGTCCATTCTGCTTTCTGTTTGAAGAAAAGAAAATTCACTGTGGGTGGCCAGACAAACATTTGCCACCCAGGTTGACAGATGAGTACGTGTTTAATGGCAGGCTTTATTGTTCTTTGTCATTCAGCTATCACTTGATAGTAAGGGATTAAAGAGTAAGGGTGTTTTTCTTAAATTGTGTGTAGAGTGATTAATTTGTGTTTTCTCAGTGGAGTATCTTTGCAACAAGAAGTCTATATGGGTACCTTAAGCCCCTCCATGTTTCGCTCACATTTCCACATGTATTCCATCACATATCACAAAACCAAATCCTCCACTCCGTGCTAAAATCAACACACCCTCAATGTCCAGAACGTCTGAGGGGGTGTGAGGGGGAGGAAAATGGGGAGGCAGACAGGGCTTCACATTTTTTCATTTCTCAGTATGAAAATGTGTGTTACTGTATCCACTCTGCCCACAACACGTGTAACGCAAACACACATTCTGCATATATGCACACATGATCATCCCAAATCAAAATAAAGGCCCAGTGCACGGTACATACATCTATCACCTATGTAGCACCAACATTAAAATTGTAGTACTTATTGCATATCATGAAATTCAGAGCATTGTAATGAAAACATAAAGGAATGGAGTCACCTATGGATGGTCAGTAATGATTCAACACAGACACTGCATTTACCAAAATATATAAACCACTTGCCATAAGCATGTGCAAACAAAAGTTGCTTTGTCATTTAAAAAAAAAGCACACACACAGAAGTAAACCGGACCCATTCTGCATAATATTGGCGATCAACATGAAAATGATTGATTCTGCTGATTTTTTTTTTTTCAAATAGTGTGTAATTATATTGCACTATATCTCTGCCTTAGTTTGTGTCTTTATGTCTGTCTTTACACCATAATATACTGGGTGAAAGAAATCTATACTGCAACAAAATGTGCAGGGGAAAGCCTAGCTGTTCAACTATTGGACTGATGAAGATGGTCAATTGATAATTGGTTATTCCCCATTAATTGCCTATATTTAATAAGATACCAGCAGAATTGGTTGTGTATGCACAACAGGTCAGACTGAGTGAGAGCGATATGAGCAATGGATGGAGCCAGAGGGCTTACCTGTAGACTGCAGGAACACCGTTCCAGTCAGAGCCCACAGGGACACAAGCAGCAGTGCACAGTGCATCCTTGAAGCCAGGCCTTAGACGATATGAGGGAGAGAGACGTACACACACAGCATTTTTAAGGAAGGGGGAAAGAAAGGGTGGGGGGGAACCAGGGAGGGGGAGAGGGAGAGGGTACGGCCCCAGAGCACACATCTGGTTTGTGTTGAGGACAGAAGTGGGGAAAATTCCAGCCTGAAGGACCTTTCACCCATTTTTGTTGAGATAAACTGTCATCCTGTATATGTCATCCAGATAAACTGGGTGACATATACATGGCTATTGCCAGTACACACAATAAACAAACAGGAAATGCTGTCAGTGAAGAAATTTGTTGGATTTTACCTGATATCATGATTTTCTCTCCTATCAAACCATGCAGCCCAGAGTTACTTAAACCTTTAATTCTTTAATTAACATATAGGCATGTACACAGGCAGTCACTGTGTAATACTCTTGACATCTAAATTGTCCATAATATTTCACTTTCATCTGTATTGCAGAACTGTGCCTATTTGTGATCACTCTATCCCCCATAAACACTGAGCGCATTTAATTTAGCAATGTGTAAGATACTCCTTCAGTGTCTGAGCAATGAGCCTTTGCTCTGTTGAGCAAGAATTTATATCTGGACTGCTTTGCCCATTAAAAGTATGCACACGATGTGCACAAACAGGGAGGATATTAAAATTAACATTCTTGAGACATTTCATGCATAGTATATTCTGGTTATCAGGCTTAAGTAATAAATAAAGTAGGGGTCCTTCTAAAATCTGACCTCTGGTGTTACTGATGAACACTGGTCTGTACTTCAAGATGCAGGCACACAAAGCTCAAGAGAAGCATCCAGAGTAACTTAAATAATGTGATGAAACACCTTAGGAAAGCAACGCAGCAGTGAATGAGAACAATCTTTTATTGGTGCTTTTTTTTGGGAAATATCAACTACATCCAAATAACCAGCACTGAACGAGCTGGGCACCATGGACACCACTGATGCAGCAGGGCAGTTCAGTTTGAGCCACTGTAAGATTCATCAGTGACATCTGTGAGGATATCAAAGATTAAATCATGTTGGGAGAGCAATTGATCACTGACTGAGGTGATGAAGGTTGTAAACCAATAAGGAGCATACTGATAGTGTGCATAGTCCATATTGTTGGGGAACAGAAAAGGTTACCGTGAGAGGTAAAGCAAGTCTGCATGTGCACCATTGTTCAAGTTATTGAGTCACATTTATAAATTCCATGGTCAAAGAAACAAAGGTGAAGGTAGTGTCCTCAGCAGAAGTGTTGACGATCTGGAGGTCTAAGACAGGATGCAAATAGCAGAGTGAGGGGTATTTTTTTCATTTGAATAGTCTTTATCAGGAACACCAAAGAGCAAAAGTGTTTCAAGGTGCAAAAGATCATGTTCATACAAAGAAAGAAAATCATTCATTAATATAGAACAGCAACAATAAGCGGGATAATCATCATAATCATAACAATAATAATAACAGTAATGGTAACTATTCATCATGGTCATTAAGGGGATTAAAAACCACACTCTATTACTAGTCCTCCCTCCCCTACGAACATAACATATGGTACCATGCCCCTGTGTAGATGTGGTGGGTACATAGAGAAGTTTATAGATACAGTAGGAAGGAAGGAGTAATAACAGGAGTAAACAGTAAGGAAGAAGCAGTACTGAAAAAAAGCACTAAATAGCAACAAGCTTTGTGGATCAACAGGAAAATTTGGCTTTTATTTCTCCCAGAAATCTGAGAAATTAACACTATTCCACTCAATGGGGGTACTCAACCCATCTCCTGAAATACATCAAATACACAAAATAGCATAGGCCTATCCACTATACACAACATTTCTCGCTCCGTAACAATGCTAATTAAAGTGTGTTCATAAAGTACAGTAAAGCAACAATGTGCGTTGTACTGGAAAGATTGATTACTATTTCAGAATATGTTACAACACTGAGATTTAACTAGCTTTATGTACCTTCAAGGTACAAAAGAGTGACATAGGGACAAAACTTTATGGGAAGAGGTTGCACACAATGGTGAGGGGACTGACTGTAAGTGAGCGCAGACAGAAACAGAGCAGCTGGATGGAGAAATGTCCCAACAATTCAAAGAGAGGATCAAGAGGGGCAGAGCTACCCAGGGCATCACAATACACTTTCACCAGCTTAGGTAAGACTTGAAACACCAGAGTAGATTCAAAGCACTCCACCAGGATAGAGAAAAAGGGACAGAGTCACAGATACTGGTATGGACTGGTATGGAAAGACGCATCAATCTCGTAAATAAGTGTTAACATTGTTGGGGAACTCAAGTCAATTAAAAAGGATGAAGTACTATATTTGGAAAGAACGCACAAGACTGGTCAAGACAAGTGTTGAGGATAGTGCTGGGCTGTCTACTCGGTGTCCCCTCGCGTCTCTCATTAGGTCTCTCTCTAGCGTGCCCAGTGACAGAAACATAACAGGAAAGAAAACTGAGCTCTTGAATAAAATCTACAAAAATGTTGAACTACACGATTTTAAGATAATTTTGCTCTCTATATTACAATTGTTACATGCGTCCTTGCCCCTGCTGCCGCATCCTGACATTAATCAAGTCGAAAAATACCCATCAATGGCTGACCACCTGTTAAACATCTCCTGACTCATCTATAATAAAAAGATATTGACCGCAGCTTTCCCCCATCTCTGGCCCAGACATGTAGAAAATATACAAAATTATTCTCCAAATTTGCTTTTCTTTTAATTTTTCTGAAGTATTATAAAAATATACAATTCTCCAATAACAAAACTCTTAAAAGTCACATCTTTCATCTATTAAATTAATCTTGCCATCCATCACTTTTTAAGAGTTGACACCTCAACAAAACGAGACACCTGAGCTTCAATACACAAACCTCCTTTTCTTATACATTCATCATCACAATCATCATCTTCCTCCTCAACATCATTATTATCCTGACCCCATTCTGTCCATCATGCCACCCCAAAAATTCAGTCTTAATTTGAATCCATTTTATATTCCTCCTCTTCCTGATTTTGCTCCACACCTTCATCACTGGTCAGCAAGACGGTTCTCGTATTTACTAAGGATGTTGCGACAGCGGCACAGTTCCTTCCGCATCTCGGCCACTTCCTGTCGGAGGGCGGCGTTTTCTCTCTCCAGGTAGGCAGCACGCACAGATATCTGGTTCTCCTTGAGACGGCGAGCATCTCGGGAACGCTTTGCTGCTTCGTTGTTTTTATACCTCCTGGTCCAGTACTTTTCATCCTAAGAGAGGACAAACAGAAATAGTAAGTAATGATTATTTCACCACCTAGCGGTTTCATTGGTTTACCTTGGCTGATCGTGGAATTTAAAGTAAAGGAAGTTAAATAATTAAAGGAGTAAAGTTAGGCACAGTGACTTCAATAAAATAATCAATGAATGGTCAAACTTGTTACTCAGGAAGCACGTAGTGCTCGTGTACAGCCATGTGGGTGTTTGGCCATGAAAGAGCGTGGGACATGTTCCTTTCACATATCTCATTCTCTGAGACTGAACAGTAATGAGCTAGCGACTTTTTTAACAGATATTTTGCTTTTTTTTTTTTTTGCTGGCATTGCTTCAGCAATTTTTTTTATTCACCTAAATTCTAGTGCTTCTTTGCTGCAAAATGCATTTACTGTGAAACACTGTAACCTTTGTTTTGAAAAGTGCTCCAATATAACTTTTTTTTTTTCAATGAGTGCCCTTAATTTAACGATAAGTACCTGGGAATTTGTGCTGCAACAGTTAGTTGAGAAAATTAATGTGAACATTTTTTATAATTGTTTTAAGTCAACTGCTAAGGATTTGCTGCTTTTTTCTTCAATAGATCATGGCAAACTAAATATATCTGGGTTTTGAACTGCTGGTGACATAATAATGAATTTGAGGACATCACCTTGAGCTCTAGGAAACACTGAAGGGCATTTTGCCCTACTTTCTGAGGCTTTGTTGACAAGGTAAAGAATAATAACCTACAATAAATAACATTTTCTCTTTAAACTCATGGTATGTGCCTTCAAATGATCTAATTGTGACCTACAATTACTTCCTTCCCAAGGTACAAAATGTCTACCCCTGCCATGAATATTTCTGCTGCTGCAGTGAAGACTTCAGACTGCACCCACCTTCATGTTATCAGGCACCAGGATCTTGCGGGCCTTCTTGATCATTGGCTGTGGTTTGAGCTCCTCTTCACTGAAGGAGTGTCTCCTGGGGTCAAAATTCTGCTGGCTAGAGACACTGGACATAGCCATGTCCGGAGAATCCATGTCAAACATTCCTACCGCATCTGGCCCGCTGCCCGTGGGCGTCAGCAGAGGTGGGCAGGAGGACGAGGAGGAGGAAGAGGGTGACTCACAAGAGTCATTCATACTCGTCTGACTCCCTGAAATTACAAGAAAGACAAACCTGTTTTGTTTTACATGCTTCTCACTGAGCTACTTTTATAATGATGCTGATTCTAAGACAAAGTAGCTTGATGGCAGCAGGCCACTATGACAATACGAGCACAGTAGTTCAACACGATGACCACCAGATGGAAGCAAAGAGCTACATTCTTAGTGTTATAATCAACAAACAACAAGCTTTTGCCCTAACTGATTCCAAAGATCTGAGGACATTTTAATCAGATCTCATGGACTGTAAAACTTGCATTTGCAGACCAATATTTAAAGGATATACCCTGAAATATACTACATAATAGTAAAAAAAGCATACAGATAAAATGACAAAGTGTTTATATTCACTTGTGCAAAGCTTTATACTTTTCTAAAATAAATCACATTTGCTTAAACTATTCAATTTCAAGTGCTCCATACTGTATTAGATCAAAGGATCATTGATATGTATGACATATTACACACCTAAAAACTGCCAATAATGGAAAATCAATCATTTGCTACAGGTTTATGAAAAGCATAGCTATGGTCCTTAGGTTCCTATAGATTTAAGCAGCCTACTGTGCAAACCAGTGCTTTGACAACAGACACAAACATGTTATCTATTGGCTTGGCCAACATCCAGAGCTGAATACCAATAGAGAAATCTAAAAATGCCACTCCCCTTAAAACCAGTTTCTTTAAGTGGGGCCAATCTAGTAAGGCTATACCTCATCCCACGCCCTTTAGGCCCAATGCACCTTACTTATCTGATTTTCCTTCCCTGTAAGAGCACTAAACTCCTATTGAAGATTTCTATATCTCCACACGCAAACACATCAGTCAACATTATTATTATAAATATGGTCAAATGCAATTGAACAAAAATAAAGAGATGTCCATGTGAAGACTTTAAACTTGAACTGTATCACAATTACAGGCTAATTATAGTCAGGGGAGTGTGTTAACTCAAAAGTGATCTGACAATCTAAAATTGTTAAATTCTGTCATTTGGTGGGCAGTGTCAACACATGTCACAGAGAACCTGAGTCGAAGCTCCCCTTCAGAGATATATGGATTCATTACAGCATAGCTACTTAACACCACAACGCTGCAGCTTAACAAAATGACCACAGCATTGTAGTCTAAACAAAACCTGTATGTGTTAAATTTCACAAAGCAGGTACTTATTGCAGACTATTACACTATGATGTGGAAACACTATTTGAGAACAACAGAAAAAGTAAAAGATGTGGCGCAGACTGCAAAACCTTAACACTAAGCAGCAGGAAGAATGGGCAAGTTGTTAGTTGTCACATGTTAAATGTTATTTAAAGAGCTGTAATATATGAGCTGCTGCTGCATAACTGCCAGGTAATCTGAATCTTAGTGTGGATAACAACCAAGTGCCAGATTTGCACTTTTTTCCTCAACTTATGACTAAACCAGGAGATTTTAATGACTGATGCTGCTTAAACCCAACAGCAGGAACCAGTCGGTGCAACCACCTGGTGTAGTGATTTGTGGGAATAAAACCCAGAAAACCCTCAGGCCTCATATGGTACATGGTTGTCTCTCTCTGCTTTTTGGAGAGCTCTGGAATGCAGACCTGTAAAGTAAATTTCATGCATTTATGCCCATGTCTCCACCCTCAGAGGCTTTTATTTTTCAATGAATGGTCCAAGATGTGACTCTACATATTTCAGGCCTCACACAACAGCATTCAAGCTGCTGTGAAGGAAAACAGCAGCCGTATTCCTCCTTAGGTTCCCAGGACACTCATGTGTATTAGGTGTTAGCCCATTCAGTATTTATGAAGCAGCTGTTGGTTAGGCACCTTTATGATACTACAAATTAAAATACAGCTTCTTTAGTTTCAAGTTGTGGAAGAGTTATTATCCATTCAACTTTGGCAAAGTCTCCTCATCCCAGTGACATTAACTTCTAGACTCAATACCAATTTGATTTTAAGCAATAACACATGAATAAGTTTTTGTAAATAGTATCTCACTTCTTTTCATTTGACTTCATATAGAAAGGTTGTAATCAAGCGCATGGGTGTTTCTCATGCAATATAACTGCATTATCAGAGTTTATGAACATGTACTGTACTTTGTCACTCAAGGACGGATCTAAAGGTCCTGTGTCAATATGCCATACAGTATACATTCTCTTCTGGATATTAGTGTACTCTGTGTCAGTGTTCAGTCTGAAGTCCAGCAGCACGGGAAAACTCTTCCTGTTGCCCATTTCCTCCCTCCCCCTGTGTGCTCCTCCTACACGTCTACTGGCCCTGCCTCTAGTTCTCTCACTCCAGCACTGTCAGCCTCTGCACATGTACTGACACGTGCACATGGCTGTGGCCTGTCAAGTGGGGAGAGATTTAAAGACACGCAACCACAAACACTACACACACTTCTCTGTCTCAGTTTTGACCCTGCTACACGTTAATAATTGTCTGGAAATGAATGCTGACTGTGGTATACAGATCACATGCTGAACTAAACAATACCTCCTTGCAATTGCTGTGAGGTCACACATCAAAAAGCTCAGGACTTCTTCCTTTACTGCACATTTTTCTCTCAGATCATCCACCCCTCTTCATGCTTTTCTCCACATCTCCCTGCTCCCTCATCCAGTGTTCAACCTAGCACCTCACTGGAGCATGAAAATAAAATTACACTACGGTCATTGTTAAACAACCATTTCTAAACTCTGTTTTCTCTGTCAAGTTGACTTTGCATTTAGAGGCATGTGATCTCCTACCTTCAGTTTGACCCCACAAGGCAGAAAAATGCTTTGTCACTATGGTGATTGTTACAAACTCAAAGGAGAGTTAAAGTGCTGAACTAGCCTGCGGGAATATTAGAAGCACACCATAACCTTGATTGCATTTCAGCTATTACTGAATTGTAAGATCTACTAGCCTGATATCAGTGGCAGGGGACTCTGTCGTATTTCAGCTTGCAAAACCTGCAGAACCCTCTTCCATGATATTGCTGTTACAAACTAACTACGAAGAATGGACTGTCCACATTCACTTTTTTTACTCTGTGGTTCTATTCCCTCAAGAACAAACAGGTGAGTGTCAGTGAACTCACCATGCAGACAGTCAGTTCCTCCTACAAGGCTCTGTGGCGGAGCCACCTCCAAACCAATGAGTGATGGGGAAGAAGACGAAGAAGGTGAAGAGGATGAAGAGCCAGGTGGGGATGACGGTGGTAAGCACTGGGAGCTCTGGTTGGGCACAGCTGACTGAGGGCTCTGTGATGGGATCTGGGCTGAAATAGAGCTGTTGTTGTTATGCATGCTGCCCATTCCATTTTCAGTCAGAAACTCCTCCAAGTCCATGTACTGGAGCTGGAAGAGGCCCCCATCTGCAGGGAGGGTGCGATCCCACAGGAGAGGCCCTAAGAACTGGTTGAAACTTCCTCCTCCATTTCCACCACTACCACCACCTCCTCCACAGTTATTACTGTTATTACTGCTGCTTACTCCACTGCCATTCCTCACAGGGCACACTCCCAAGGAGTCCTCATCAAGATCCACTCTGTCTTTGTCTGTCAAAGAGAGGAGAAACAAGTCATTATTAGTTCAGGATGAAGAATAACTTTGGTAACATTTTTCAGTACAAAATAAAGAACAATTACTAAAAGGGTTTATTGGACTATTTTTATCAGCAGCCTCTGGCTAATAGATGCTAACATTAACTCTCCCTGTTTGTGCTGAACCACATGGAGTGGCAGGTGTACCAAAAGATGCATGTCTGCAAAATCTCCCTCTCCCATACACACACACAAATACACACTCACAGATGGACCAGATGGTAGCAGAAATTGCTGCATTAAGCAAGAGCTGAAATCAATTTGTTGTCATAACATACACACATAAGCTCCTGAACAAATCTCACAATAGCTGTTTCTGCAACCACAGCACATGCCTGCACAGCATTACAGCTAAACCAAAACATGTTATTACCCACTGTCATCAGGATCCCAATCTTAAATCACAGCAGGGATTATAATCCAGGTGAATATTCATCAGGGTCAAAGAGAAGTCATCATGGATGAACATTCAGTGTTTTGTGCACAAATCTGTGCCATTAAATGATAAACGTGATGTTTCTTACATAGTGTTACATATTTGTATTGCAAAACAGTAGCAGTGGGAGTACCAGAAGTGTATGATTTAGTCATGCTCTGCCACTGAAGACAGTGTGTGTCAGGTGCTAGTGCTGCACATTTAATATAAACACATTGTATTAATTAATCAAATGAGGCTTTCTAACCTTTCGCATCACACGGGCTTTTTAAACGCTGGTCTCCCTTCATGGGGTGCTGCAGAAGGGATTTCAGACCTGTCATAGAGTTGAGATGCCCTCCTGTGAGGGAGCCTGCAGGCTGAGTACAACTTCCAAACTGTGGGCTTGCACCGGCTGGGAGGTCAGGGGTCGGAAGCTGGGAAAGCTGCCTTGACATCCTGGACCAGACGGGGTCGCAGAGACACCTGGGGCACCTGAAGGGGCGAAGCAAGCTGACCAGAGTACCTACCAATAGGACAAGTATGCTGGATGACTGTGCGTGTGTGCAGGAGGGGTGGGAGTGGAGGGCAAAAAAAAAGGATAGTTTTGAGAAATGTCCATATAGTATAAAGAACTGTAACTGAAAGTATGAGCATTGCATTAATGACGCAGTTTTATTATACTTTGAAACTTATGCTAAATAACACATGCAACTTTTACCTTTCACTTGTAATGCAGTGTTCCTTAATTCCTTGCAGAGATATTTTTATCTAAATATTCCATTGTCGCTGGATCCTGTCAAAACTGTTGTAGATCACGCTGTTATTCTCAGAGGACCAGTGTGGGAGGACCATCTGAGCAGGAATACTGTTCATAATAAAAATGCAAAAGGCGTCAAAATGACAATGAGACCCGTAGACTGCACGGACAGAAAGACATTACAATTAAAATTGGTGAATATTCCGAGTTAATCGGTGTTCACAGAGAAATCCCCGAAATAGTTGCAAAGCGAACCTCCGTAAAAACAAAACAACCTAAGTGTGTATCGTAAAAAGCACACAGAGCATCGAGAGCAGCGTCTGGACTGATCAGATGACAAGTTTGTGGTGTTCTCTCCGCTCTGGCGCTCTGCTGTCCTTCGGGAAGAGGAGGGGTCGTTTCCTCTTTCTCTGTCAGTACTTTTCTTTCCGGTGAATCCAGTCACAGGAGCACGGGCTCGGGTCTGTCTAGGCCGCGCGACGTCCACGTCCTCTCTCTTTCTCTCTCTCTCTCTCTCTCCCTCTCCCTCTCTCTCAGCTGGAAGGGACACGGGTAGTTCACGTGACGTCACGCCTTGCAGAACGAGGCGCGAGTGGGGGAGGAGGCGGGTTAAACAAATCTCAATTCTGGCATATTATTTATGAGACACACCTACCCTCGTGCCACACCTCGAGGAGACGAAGCTGTTTGTTTTGCCTGACAGGTACAAACAGGGTGACTCTCCTATTTTATTTACACTGCAGCAGCAAAGATGTAAATTCGTTGTATCTTAGTATGATTACTGAAAGCACTTGTCTTTACATTGCTAGACCTTGCCATCACAGCTCATGATTACTGGCTCAAAATATTGACCATCACCATTACAGCACAGTGATGGCTATCTGTAATAATTAGGTACTGCGGAAAGGCTTTTCGAGTTGCCTTGTAATCCACAGAAAACGTGAGTGTGCCTTTTTTTCAGGAGTCAGGAACGCTTCAGCACGTTGCCTCCCGGCGTACAATAGCTGCTCCAACTCACGTGTTCGCGGCACGCGGAGATCAGGCATGTCCGCTCGCGGCTCTGGTCCTGATTGGCTGTGGGAACTCGCCGCTCCGCCCACGACGAGCGCTTATTGGTCAGAAATAGGTCCCATAAACCCGCCCGCTCGGATTCCCCCACGTGCATGCCACTGCCGCGTGAGACCAGTTCGAATCACAAAAAGCGCGAGGGGTTTCTAATCTACTGTACAGTTGCAGAGCACATGCACAACACAGTGCACTGTAGGAATTCAGCTGTTTCCCCCCCCAGAGTTGGACATGCAAGAGATGACAAATAGTAGACAGATTTAAGTCATCATAAGGCTCCAAAGTGTAATAAATAATGCAGCTTCCATATGAATATTATGCACTAGAGGATAGGAAAATATGTTGTCAGTTTTAAGTAGGGGTTCAGTCTAGGGTCCAGTTGTGGGCCTTCTAATGTAACCTGTTTAAATCAGCAGTGGGTGTGAATCATCATAAGCAAAACAGATGTATTTTATAATCAATTGGCATGCAAACACACTTGTGATTTTAAAATCACCTTAGCATGTCCTCTGCATAGCCTCCAGGACTTACATGATGCTAAATAATATTGTGGTTGGTGTCACGCATGAAATTATCATGAAAACATTTGTGTGTAATCAAGAAAAGGGCTACAGTAATATCTAATTTTCCTAATGCAGTGAATTTATATTCAATACTAGTGCAAAATTACATGGACTGAATTTCACCTTTGACTAATTTCTAAACGTGCAGTTTATTTTATTTAAATGTGGCTAAATTCAAGCAGCCATGATTGCAGAATGATACTAAATCTTTCTATTTACTTTGTGGCATTAATCTTGTAGTAAACAGCAGACAGGAACATAATTCAGTCACACAACACTCTCTAGCCCCCCCCTCATCAGTGCAAAATCCATGTGACTGACACACTCTTCCAGACCAGGTCAAACATAAAGAATAAATGTGTTGTTTACTGCCATCTTGTGGAGCTAATGAAAAGTTTTACACAGCCACATATTTCAAGTGCAGTGATGTAACTACTGTAAATTTTAATGGCTGAAAACAGGTCATTACACTGGTGTAATCTGGAGAATAATATGGTAAGCCTATGTACTTTAAAGAGATTTACTGGTATATCAACTACATCCTGAAATGTATTTAATTCACAGAGTGAAATGAAATTCACATGGAATACAGAGCTAAATAATTACAAAATCTCATTGTTGATATTTACACCTTACTTGGGTTTTGACAATATTTTGGATACTGCAGTAGATAAGTGAATCAGAAATGAAAGGAAAACAACAAATGATTACACTTAAGGTTTATTCATTGCTGAAATATAATCAACTACTGTCTTCTCAGTAAGTTATGATAGAAATCTACTAAAACTATCATTTTTCTTTAAAAGAAAAACAAGGCTTGACAGGGGTATGAACATGTAAATAAAGTGAAAGGATGTACTTAAAACTTATTTTTCTTTAGAAGAAATAAAAAGGCTTGACAGTAAGAATATGACTGCAACTTGGCAAAAAGTAAAAGGTAGACGGGGTTAAGTATAAGATTGGCATGAAGACTAATTGGGTTACACACATAAATACATGGAATATTACATCTGTTTATGATAGGTCCTCATCTTTAACACACTGTGAAGTACTGTAGAAATAATCACTGCTAAAAAGAGCATACAAATAACGTGAGATAAATGTGTTACAGTCCACTGTTTGACCTGTTTTCAATCTCTTGGTAAAAAAGCTAGGAATATCTTAAATAACTGAAGTAAAATGAACATAATAAGCCAGGCTTTTTTCTAAGTTTCTTCATTTTGGCAAGAGAGGGATCCTTGTGATGCTAATTACCAGCAACTCTGACATTTTACCTATATGTGATTAAATCACTAGGGAATATAAAGTAACCTTTGAATCATGTTTACACTACAAACGTCTGGGGATATACTGAATAAACCATCACATACTGTAGGAGTGATTTCACAACCTCGGCAAAAAACTTGACCAGAGAACAAACATGCACTGACAAACTATCAACAAAGGTTTTTGTCCCCATGTCCCTACTCCTAATAAATGCACTTTACATTTTAAAAAATCCTCAGAGTCTCTAAGTGAACAACAACAAGACAGTACACAGCAGAGACGTTTATCATACAGCAAGAGGTGTAGCAGGGATTCTAATTACGGGGAAGATAGATAGATTAGCAGGTCATTTCACCTAAACTTGTCTAGTAACTGCACAGTGTCAGCCAAGCATAGTGTCAATGCACTTAAGGGGTTAATGATCCTATGGAAACAGTCATGTCTTTGAAAACACCTTCCAATATAAACTGGAAGAATTTATCATGATATTTTATAGGATGCTCTACAGTAGTTGTTAACACACTCATTCTAATAGTCAGCAGAGTAGATGTCAACAGAGACAAAGAGGCAAATTCTCCTAAAGGCAGCAGATGCCTTTTCAAGTCCCTTTTTTTACCTTCCCATTTTAGAACTGAAATATCACCCTCATATTCCACCCCTTTTCAGATACCAGGATGCTCAGTATCTGTATGGTCCCTGTAGGAATGGCAGCTCCCCCTGATCCTCATGGGTCGGTCTCTCTCCCAGTGTCTTTGAAAGCTTCCGCCTCTTAGCATTTCCTCGCAGCAATCCCTTAGCCCTGCGCCGGCAGGACACCTTGTGCCTGTGGAGAAGTGTAGCATTCCAGAAGCGAGCAGAACAGCGTTGGCAGGAGAAAGTCCCTCTGGCACGATGGGAGGCCCGATGGATGAAGGCCACCAAAGGCCTGTGAGACTGTTTCCCACATACACTGCACCTTAGTCGCTCCTGAGTGGTTGAAGCTTTCTGTGGGTGTTTAACTGCCATGTGGACTAGCAGTCCCGCTTTACGGGAAAACACAGAGTTGGGACATATAGGGCAGCCAAAACGTTTTACAGGGACTTTCAGGGATGACAGGATCTGCACCTTCACTCCTCCAGTGTTGACAAGCTTATACCCACCACCACCTGATCCTCCTCCACATCTAATTGTCAAACGAAGAGAACCTTGCTTTTTATTTGACTGCCCTCTTATTGTACAACTTATCTTTCTCTTCTTTTTGCCTCCATCAAATTTAACTAAATCTTGGGATTCCCATTTATTTTCCCTCCAATCTCTCCTGCCGGACTTTTTTTTTTTCTTCTTGTGTCGTCTCACTTCATTGTGTGATAACTGGATACTGCAGTCAAGGTGCTGGTGGGACTGGGTACCTGACTGATATGGATGATGGTGGGAGTGATGGTGATGGTGATGCAGATGATGATGTTCAGTGGAGGGCAGTTCCGTGAGGGGCTGGAACGGGGCTGTGGTGTGAAGCGTACGACTACGCGATCCAGCTGGGTATATGTGCTCTCCTTTCACCCCAGCTGGGGAGTGTGGGTGCTGTGGGGGCATGATTGTAGAGTTTGGAGGCAGAGGCTGTGAGTAAGATGGGGCATTAGAAGCTGAAGACTGGGCAGCTGCAGCATCATAAAAGAGGGGGGAGTAACCAGCTGGAGGTTGCGGGGGTGCCTGGTGGCTAAGACTCTGCCCTCCGTGGCCTTCTGTGGGAGGAGCCATCTGCAGCAGGGCGTTGGTGGCAGCTTCACTCTCTGATGCTGACTGATTGGCATCACTCCCACCTCTGTTGTCTCCAGACCCAGTGCTGCCTTCTTGTGAGTTAGACGGTTCAGTGCGGGTCATCCCATGCTGTGACTGCCTATGTCGAGTAAGGCTATTGGAATAAGCAAAAGCTTTCCCACATACCTCACAGCAAAAGAGCTTTTCACCGCCACCTTCATGAACCGTCTGGTGATGAGCAGTCAGATGGAAGTGATGGCGGAACGACTTCCAACATATAGCACAGGTGTAGAGTCGAGGTGGAGGTGGGGGCTGTGGTTGGGGTGGGGGTGGAGGCTGTGGCTGGGGGTTGGTGTCTTGAGGCTTGACATCTTGAGAGTAGGAGTAATAAGAGGAGGTGCTTGGTGCTTGGTTCTGGCCCCTGTCTTGGGCCACGCTACATTGAGGGTTTGGGTTAAAGCTGTTAAGGTTCTCTGCAGCTGGTGTTGTGGGCACTTCTTCCAGCTCCCCTTTCTGGTGGAGTTTGCTGTGCCTCCTGAGGCTCTGGGAGTAACCAAACTCTT